TCCTGAGGAATTCTGCAATTCCAGACTTTTTAAATGTGTGTCTATTCTAACATTTTGACTAGAACTGGTCGGGAAATGTTTTTTCCTTGGGATAAATTATTGACATTTTGTTGAAAAGATGAAAGCTGAAATGTTCTGGTTTTCAGTTACCGAAAACTGGGGGGGGGGGAGGGGGGGGAAAAAAAAAAAGAAAAAAAAGTTGATACTTTGCGCAAACATTTTCATTCAGTCAAAAAAATTATTTTCCATTGAAAAAAGTTTCGACCAGCCCTAATTTTGACACCATATGGTGCTTGTGTTTGCTTGCAGGAATATAACCTGTAGGCAGCAGCTGAACCTAACAAATGATTCAGTCACAGTGAACAGACTTTACTAGTGGCATGCATGGGCTTTTTAAAAAGAACTGCACCACAGTTAAGCAGTATTTCTCCAAGATCTAACTGCTTAGGTCAGTTAAAAACTTGATGCTTTTATCTTGATTTTACTTGACCCCTTTTTACCCCTAGATCTCTGGGAAAATGACTTAGGTTGATGTATGCAGTGTAGTTGTAGCTTTGTCGATCCCAGGACAGAGACACAGAGAAGGTGGGAAGTTGGTCCAATAAAAGATATAAGCTCACCCACCTTGTCTCTCTAATACATTGGTGTGTTTTTCCACAGTAGCTCCAAACATCAATACATCTTCTGCAATGACCTAACAAGTTTTTCCCACTTTCTTATGGAACATGCTTTAGGATGAAAAAATATCAAAGGTAAATGGGTGATGTCTTTCTTGGGGGGGGGGGGAGAAGCGGGAGAGAGTAATTAAGCATGGCTAATAGTGAACTTTTGGTCCAGTTTTATTAGTCATTTTCCAGATATGACATTCAGTACGCTGCGTCACTGTGTATCAGCCAGTTTACTTGTTAGTGCATCAAATTTAGATGTGTGGTAGTGTTCACCCTTGATTGTCTTGTTCAAGTTTCATAGAAGTTAGAAGGGAAATCCTAACGCAGTCACGCCTGTGGAATTCATTGCCAGTTTGTGGAATCATGGAGCCCTGACTGACTCTGATCAGTGGGGCAGTTCACACCTCTTAGAGCTATTGTTTCAAGCAATCTGCCAACTCAACACGGTACTGGTTTACGTTTACGTTCACCCCTGGAATAGCAAATTATTCTATGTTAACAATGAAATGGGAAATCAATATTTATTACATAAAAGTGTAAGACAAGTGTCCTGATTAACAATCTACTCACTGGACTGACAATTCAGTGTAAAGACAATTTATTGTACAACAGCCAACTTTCACACTTCTCTTGCCAACTTAATATTATGAACGGCAGCTTCTTTATAATATCACTGGGCACATCCCACACAAAGTAAAGCAGCGAACGGCCTCTCCAATCACGTTTTAATAAAGAGGGTAATCTGATACAAATTAGATGAGGGATTTTCCATGTCAGCTCTACACTTCAGTGTTTCGTTGAGCTTTCAGAAATGCGTTAGGGTTGAAAAAAGCATCAGTAGGGAAAGAAATGTAGTGGTATTGTCTCTTCAGCAATCAAACCTGTAATAGTCAAGGACTAAGAACTACCTAGACCTTTTGTATGATTCTTTGGCATTTTGCTACTGTAGACAGACTGGCTGTAATATTAAATCTAAACCAAAAGGAAGGTTCAAAAGGCAACCAGGAAGCCCAATAGGCTCAGGGTGACCATACATCCCGTTTTGGCCAGGACAGTCCCTTTTATTAGCCATGATCAGTTGGCAAGAACAAACACGACAAATGCCCACTTTTATTTAAAAAAAAAAAAAAAAAAAAGGGGGGGGGGGGGGGGGGGGGAAAGAGGGAGGGGAGCACGCCGGGGGGGGGGGGGGGGGGGGGGGGGGGGGGGGGGTGCTGAGCGGGGGGGCAGCGGGGGCCAGCCCCGCGGGGGTGGGGGGCAGCCTTGGGCAAGTGGCTGGGGGGGGAGCTTGGGCCAGCCCCACATGGTGTCCTGTTTTCCCCTTGGGAAATATGGTCACCCTAAATAGGCTAGCATAACTGGGTATTAATTCCCTAGAAACATACGGTACAGAAATAAGGTGGAGTGAGGAAGGGTGTATTTAATTTCTACAGAATTAATTTTCGAGTAGCAAGTTCCTTAGGAGAGGGCATTGTCAAGGAAATCAGTGACCAGCAGAAGTTAATGGCCTGAGGCCAAATTCCCACCATGGAGGCCAAATTCACATTAAACTCCCAGGAAATGACCTAGGTCTCAATAATGATTGCTTAATTCAAATTCTAAGCAGGAGCAGAAAATGCTAGTAGAACTGAACCTTCACACAGTTTCAAAGAATGTGAGCATATTCTGTTTTCACTGTTGTATTTTATTGGGAATTGATTTCTCTCAGGAACAGGAGAGCCCTTAGTATGCTTACTGTAAGTGCATGTATATTATACGTCTTGAAAAAGAAAGTTCCATGAGGAAAACATAGCTAATGCGAACTTAAGTTAGCAACTCCACAGTCCCAAGATCCACTCTGACCATGTATCAAGCCGGCCCCCTTCGACAAATGCCAGCAGCTGCAGAAAAGTAGTACCACCACCTCAGAAGAACTTTACCTGAAAAGCCAGCTGCTGAGTGATACAGACAAGCATCTTATGTGATCCTAGTCAATTTCACTCGACAGCAACCACTAGGTAAAAGCACTTTATATGCAATGCTATTCTTTTCCTCTGCAGCTGTCAGTCTCACTCTTTGAGAAGGGGAGAGACACAAAGAAGTCACAAAAGGACAGATCCCCTCTTTCCCCAGGGGCCCTCCCCTCAAACTGATAAACACCCTATACTTTTAAACAGTGTTTGATAAGATCATATTACATTCTTATGACCTGAATAAAACAAGCTTCTTTTGACCTTATGAAGTTTTTACATTAAAAGCAAGTAACATCAGTATTTAAAGATGCTGTGCATTATACTTGAAGTTTTCCATCATATAAAGAAAAGTCAGTTACTCATCAAGTTTTCTTTTAAGTGATCAAATGTATCAATATCAGAAGTAACAAAATTTGTCTGAAACCATCTGATACCGAAGCAAGAACCGTAGATGCTTGCAGCATAACAGAAACAATACTCATGCAAATATCTTATCTTCTTGTTAGTGCTTTAAAAGACTTGGTACAGTGCCAGAAAGTTAATTGCTTTTGAATGCTATAGGTTGCTTTTCAATGTATTTCCTTGATATGCAGTGACTAGGGCTGGTTGCATTGCATGTGTAATTAACATTCGCTGGAAATGATGTCCTCTTTCTATTCACAAATTGGTCCAGATTTCTACTAACACAGATGGCAGATTTGCAAACATTTTCACAACTACCCAGTAGGATCTCCAAATACTGACACACCATTAATGACGACCCAACAAATGTGATTATGGCCTCTGTAATTTCTTAAGTTGCTTCCTTTCTAAAAGAAATGAACCTCCACAATTTTTCCTACCCTCCCACAAAAAAAAAAAAAATTGCACAAAATTGCTTCCATATCCACTGTCTTAGTTCTGAAAATCCTATTCTATTCTCTAACCTGGATTCCCACTTAATAGCATATGGGATACTATTATTTTTAAGGGAGTAATAACACGCGGTCTGATTTTTAAGAGGCACTGAGAACGTGCAGCTCTCATTGACTACAATCTGCACCTCTGACGGGAAAAACAGGCTCATGGTCTATGTTCTTACTACACAAAATTGTGTTAAAAAATGATTTTTATAATTTCAGAAACATGTTCTTGTCACTCTTTTCAGTGGCAATTAAGAAACATCAAGTGTCATGTTGGAATCTCTCCAAGGTATGAGAAACAAAATACTCTAAAAATATGCACTGAAAGCATCAGCCGGAATATTACTCTGATCTGAGAGAAAAAGCAGTGCTGCATTTCCTTCCGTAGGTACCAGGCCCTTTCAACTACTTCTGTTTCTCTACATAACTAGTTAGCAGGAAGTGGCTGAAACCCCCCGCACCTCTCCTCAACATAAACAGTGAACACTAGAAGAAAGAGTTGGTCACCATCCAAGTATTCTTATGAAATACATTTTGATTACTTCAAGATCATGATTTCCTAGATACCATCAATTCAAAGATTCGGAATGTTAAGCCCCGGGTCAGTTCAACTAACTTTCAGGACAGTTATATAGCCAGTGGATATTTAAAATAAAATTAAATTAAATTTAAAAAGCCTGAAAATGGGACACAGCAGCTTCACATAGCTACATACCTACTACAAGAAGCATAAGACCATAGGAATTGACATACTGGATCAGGCGTAATCCAGTACACTGTTTCCAGCAATGGCCAGGACCAGATGATTTGGAGGAAGGTGTAAGAACCCTACAGTAGGAAGACGTGCCATAATCTGCACCCCACATAGGTGGTCTCCCTATCTCTAACATGTAGAGATTGGCTAAGGCGCTCTCTCTACCAGAAATGCTACAGCGACACAGCTGCAGAGCAGCAGCTGCACTGCTGTGCTGCTGTTTTTCCATCGTTGTAGTAAAGTCAACTCTCTGAGAGGTGGTTGCTAGGTCAACAGAACAATTTTTCCATCAATCAAGCAGGGTGTATGCCAGGGCTTAGGTTGGCTTAATTACATCACACAAGGTGTTAATTTTTTCATAGTCCTGGAGGAATTAATTTCAGCAATTTCAGTTAAGCTGACCTAACTTTGCAGCACAGACCAGCCCTGAAGCACAAGGTTTAATATCCCTTCCAAAAATTTTGCCTTAATTATAACAACACTGGATATTCTTGGTAGCAAAGCAGCCATGCTAAGTAGGAAAGCACTTTTAATAATAATAATAATAATAATAAAAAAAAAAGGGACCTATTTTTCTGTTACCTCAATATAAATCAGGAGTAATTCCCCTTAAACCAACAGATTTAAACCTACATTGGTGTAAAACTGGTGAGAGATCAGAATCAGGTCCTTTAACATATTTCAAAACAACATTAGTACTGAATTAAAAAAACCCAAAACTTACAAATTCTGTGAGGGTGAATCGGCAGCAGGAATGCACAGATATTTCACTCCCTGTATAAAGTAGTAAACAGGAATGAGAACACAACATTAAGACAAAAGCATAATGGTCACAGATCAATGGGCAAATTCTGCTCTAGTATTTGTGCAGTTCCATTGATTATGAAATAATTGTAGTATTGTAAGTAACTGCAGATTTTGTCTCATCTGCCCAGATTTAAAAAGACAAGGTGGGTGAGGTAATATCTTTTATTGGACCAACTTCTGTTGGTGAGAGAGACAAGGTTTCAAGCTTATACAGAGCTCTTCTTCAGCTCTGTGTAAGCTTCCATAAGAGGAGAGATAAAAAGACTGGGATGGTTCAGCTTGGAAAAGAGATGACTAAGGGCGGATATGACAGAGATCTATAAAATCATGAATGGTGTGGAGAAAGTGAATAAGGAAGTGTTATTTACCCCTTCACATAGCACAACAACCAGGGGTCACCCAATGAAATTAATAGGCAACAGGTTTAAAACAAACACAAGAAAGTACTTCTTCACACTATGCACAGTCAACCTGTGGAACTCATTGACAGGGAATGTTGTGAAGGCCAAATGTATAACTGGGTTCAAAAAAGAATTAGATACATTCAAGGAGGATAGGTCCATCAATGGCTATTAGCCAAGATGGTCAGGAATGCAACCCCAAGCTTGGGGGTCCCTAAGCCTCTGACTGCCAGATACTGGGACTGGAGGACAGGGGATGGATCACTCAATAATTGCCTGTTCTGTTCCTTCCCTTTGAAGCATCTGGCATTGACCTCTGTCAGAAGACAGGATACCAGGCTAGATGGATGATTGGTCTGACCCAGTATGACCATTCTTATGTGATGAACCCACCCACCTTGTCTCTCTAATATTCTCGGACCAACGCTGTTACAACACCACTGCATACAGACTTAAAAAGTTATTTTCAGAAGTGTTTTGTCGCTAAGGAACCGACAGCTTAGTCATGTTTACACGAAAGATCCTTAAGTGAATTCTTTAAACAGCAGCATCTTTATTAGAAAGGCGTAAAACTTTTGTTATATTCATCAGCTTAAACATGTTATTCTTGTTATGTTTCATTGGAAACTAGTCGCATCTTATACAGTTCTCACTTTGTCAAAATGAATGCTGAAAATGAAATTTGAGAAAAACTTTTTTCTCGTGCAGAATGCCACATTCAGTTGTTTTTCCCTTACGTATTTAGCAACACAAAGGGCATTTTGGAAGAGGAATCGGTTATTTTTTGAAAGCGATGACTTTAAAACTCAGGCGTATCTTCCAATAAGAAGTCCTCACTTTATTAGTCAGCTATTATTGTAACGAATTATGTACTGAAATAAGGAACTGCAATATATATTCTTAGAAGAACTCTGATCTGAAAAGTCAAGTAGGCAATGCCTTTTCAGGAGTGTTTTACAAAAGACCACAAAAACAAGTTTAAAAAATGAGCTTGGACAATAAAGTGACAAAGTAATAGATAAGTAACAAATAAAAAGAGCGATGACAATAGAAGTTAGTATTCCATACGAACAGGCTGTAGTTTTAAATATACCTAGTAACTTCCCTCTCCAGGGACATCTCCAGGATCTCAGATGGTGATCAGGCTCATCATGACCTCCTCAAATATACACCTCTCCCCAGGCTATGATCTCCAACCCCACCTCTGGCTATTCCACACCTGAGCCAACAAACCACTGATGGTGCAACAGCTATGTTCTCCATCTGAAGAGCCAGAGGTAGTACGTCAGAGCAAGCCAATGCATTCTTCACAGCCACTCCACTACCGCTTTCCAACCTCTTCCTGGCCCTTTGAGACCTCTGTGGATTGTCAACTTGTTTCCTCCTGAAGTGTGTCACAGAATATAGCTGGTGAACTGTCAATGGTTCACTGACTAAATGGCACAGCCAGAGTGTGGGGATTATTGGAAATGTGGAAGGCATAGCCGGGGGAAATCATGACTTAGGGAGAGGGAAATATTTGAAGAGGGGTTTACAGTGAGAGAGCGCACAATCTCAGCTGAACTCCTGCAGAATGGGAGCTGGTGATATTTCGGGAGGGTAAAGTGGGGACAGTTGTGTGGGCATGATAAAACGTGGTTGTGGGGAAAAGAGATGAGATTCAGCTGGTGAACCATGGAGGCTGGACAGCTAAATGGCATCTCTGATATCTGTCAAAAAATGAAAACCGTCGAACATGGCAGCCACCCCCACTTGAATCTGGGCAAAGCAGCCCTAGTGTGGTTGCAAGGATAATAACCCTTATGGAGTCAAGATGGCTAGCAGAGATGCACTCAACTGGTGGTAGAACAATCTGCATATAAAACAACAGATTGCTAATATCATGGATTGATTTCTCTAGACTAGACAATGCTACAGTATAGATCTGGTATCATTACCTCCTTACAGGTATTCACCATGAAGCTTTAGCTTTGAACTTAAGAGGACTGCTCAAAGGAGTAAATTTTATAGAATTAGACCCTACATTTGCTGAAGCTTGGCAATTTACCTTTTCAGGTCATATTAAATACTCTCTCCTTTGGACAATTCAGTACCAGGAGCCCAGTACTCATTAGCTACCCTTCAACAAGGCAGAACACAGGAATGAAAAGAAGGGGGGAGGGGAGAGAGAGAAGGAAACATATTGAGGCCAGCATTGTACCATGCAATTAAGGTTCCAATCCTGCATCCCATACTCATTTAAGCAGTCCCACTGATTGCAGCAGTTATCACACATGCTGAATGCTTACAGTAGCTGAACTAAGAGGGGCTTTCAGAAAATGTTCACTTTAAAAGAAGAAGTACTGTCAGTTTTAGAGCACACAGTGTTCTTTTCTGTCACAGCTGGCTGATTCCCATTCTGCATGATGCTAAGAGGTACGTGAATTCACAGCTACCACAGAACCACACGTAAGCATGAAACTAGCTTACGAGAGACCACATATTGTGCTAAATAGCTCCTCCAAGGCCTGGTCCTGGGAGGTACAACTCCCAATAAAGCCAATGGGAGTTGAGCACCTCTCATTGAGTGTATCACCTCTCAGGATCAGAAGTTTAGTCAGGTTAACTGGGCCATTCAACATATAAAGGTTCTGGAAGTCTGTGCTTTACTAATGCGTGCCACCTTGGAGCATTTTGGAAGGTGGTGCTAATGAATTCCCCTCCCCAGACCTCCCAGGAAATCCCCCCCTCCTCCAATAGGAAAATGACAATTATGGGTGGGATCTCAAAAATGCTCAGTGTTGGCCTCTCTCTGTCCCACTGAAATCAACAATAAAACTCCCAATTACTTCAACCGGAGCACAGTTAGAACATCCCTGACCAACTTTTTAAAATCCTACCTTATAAACAGATTTGATCCTACATAGTTTAAAAATCTTAGAATCAAAAGCATTCATTTTAATTGCATGAATAAAATAGAGGGACTATACTGGTTGGTATTGGGCAGGTGTTTGTAAATGAAACACTTGGGCCACTGTCCAACAGAGATATTTATATGTCGCTGTTGATAACAAGACTTGCCACGCTGCATTCGCTTTTCTTCATGCGCTTTTGATATTTTTACAAACTTAGTGCCCCCCCCTTTTTTTTTAAGATATTGGAAACAGGAAGTTATTTAATTTCTGAGCCCTCTTGTCTATGTGATAATTAAAAAAAAACATCCGAGATCATTGTGTTCTTGTGCAGTTATGCCCCAGAGACATCACTGTCTTTCCTGTGCATGTACAATGCAGATAACATCTAAGAATTGTCCCAAAGGGACTCTAAGCAAAGCAGAACAGTTTGTGTCAACGTAACAAGTAAATACTGTAGACTAAGATTTTCAGATGCTCATGGCTGGTTCACTAGTGTACAAAAATGCCATAGGCTTCACAATTTCAGTAGTTAGTGGCGTTTGCAATTTTAGAATCTTCAACAAAGACCAAGCCAAAGGAGGAAGCAAAAACATCACTGAAGTGTCTGTTTCCTTGCTTGGGTATGTGCTCATCATGACAACACAGAGTCTGTGCCTGATCATAGATTGCTGAAGCCAGTGGGATGACTCCCAATGCCTCTATGGGCCTTAGAGCCTTACTGATTTATTCAGGAAGCTATAATATTGCTAGAAAATGTTAAGAATAAACCCTACTATAAGATTTAACAGGATTTAAATTAATAATATTAACAAAGATGGGGCAGGCAAACTAAACATTAAGTGTATATGTATAACTCAGTATTTCTTTCAAAGGGAAACTTGCATTTTGTCATCTGGTAGAACAATAGATGGATTTTTCAGTGAAAAAAGTGGATTTAGGTTCCAGCAGATTAGTTCCACTCATTAAATTTGTTAAGTTCATTGAATATTTGCCCTTCTCAAAAATGAAATGTTTTGTTTAGGTCAGAGATAAAACCTTATTACAAGAGTTGATGAAAAAGCAAATATTATTATAAATCCAATGTGAAGGAACGAATCCACATTAATTAATTAATTACTGCTGCAGTTGGTATATTCACAATGAAATATTCCTTCAACTGATATCTTGCATGCCAACATTTTTTCTTCTTCTTCTTTCTCCCTCCAAACAAACCCTTCCCTGGATTAAATCAAACCAGCTTTTTCATCAAACTAAAATTAAATATTTTCTCGGAGTTACAAAAAATTACATACATACATTGCTGTAAAGCAAATCGAATTCTATGCTCCAACTGAAAAAAAACAAACCTTCAGCAGTTCACCACACAAGTTCAAGTGTTCGTACAAACTTCCTAGATCTGTACATAAGCAGAATAACCAACTATATCACAGTGCCTTTCTCATGGCCACTTCTAAATTCAATGCTATATATTCTCCAACTGTTGTTTCTAAATCCTTAACATCACCCCACCCACAACCTACATTTTTTAAAGATGTTTTCTAAGGTTATCGATATTAGTTAGTTTTCGTATGATGCCAGAATCAATTGAGGTCACGCATGTTTCTTCCAGTGCAGTTAAAGATACATGATAGACTGGAGAGCCAATATACTAAAAGATCATTTTCTTTTCAGT